AGCTGCTGGGTCTGCTGTTGAAGAGACGCAAGCAAGTCGCCCAGTGGGACGGACTCGTTTACGGCATTCTCCAATGTATCGAGGGTGGACTGGAAGTTGGCGACAGCGGCAGCGAAATGCGCCTTGGAGGTTGGGGTCGGGTGCGCAAGCGCCGCGCGACCGGACGAGATGGCGTGTCCAGACATGGTCTCGACGGCCTTGGCAGCATCCAGCAGCTTTTGGCGCTTGACGGGGTCTGAGCACTGCTCTGCCTTCAAGCGAGCCTTTTCGACCACGGCCCTGGTGGCTTCCTCGAGCTCTTTGGCGGTCGCCTCAAACAGCGCCAGGTCGCCGTCGGCCACGGCTTGGTTGAGCTTGGCCGTCAGCGCGTGGATGTGGTCGATGCCTCGCGCAATCTCGCTGTCCAATGCGTCGCCGATCGACTGCATGACGGATGCGACAACCTGCATCGCTTCTTGCACCTTGTACTCGAGTGCAATCTCTGGCACGGTGCCCTTGGCGACGTCCTGCAGCGTCTTGACAACCTCGGGAATGACCATGCGCAGGAGGTCTGCGTCCTTTTTGAGCTTGGCGGCAAGGTAAGGATCCTGGCAGGCGAGCGCAATCTCGTCGGCGCGCTTGAGCAGCATCATGGCCTCCTCGGCGTACTTTTTCGTGTTGGCAATCAGTCCGGTCTTGTCGGTGTCGTGCACGGCGCGCAGCATGGCCATGAGGCGCGAGCCAATGTCGTCCATGAGCAGCCAAAGCTCGCCGGCCTGCTTGAACTTTGTGTTGATGCCGGGGTTGGTCTGAATGGCGTCGATGGCCGACTTGACGGCCGCGGCGAGGCGTCCAGCCACAGAGTCTGCTGCATGGCGGGCATCGGTGGACGGGTGCTCGCAGTTGGTGCGGGCAGCCGAAATGGTCAGCGTGGAGCACGTCTTGATGATTTCCAGCGCAGCCAGCAGCTGCTCGCGCACCTCAGCGTCCAGAATCTCGGGTGCGTGGCTCGTGGCCATACGGACGAACGACAGGTGCGCCTCTGCGCACATCTTGGCCGCAATTTCCAGCTCAAGCATGATTTGGCAGGTGAGCATCGTGGCGGCCGTCTGCGTGGCGAGCTTGCCGGTGGCCACAATACGGCGGATTTCGAGTTCGTCGTAGATGCCCAGGGCAGAGCGTGTGGATTCGAGAATGATGAAGACGCCTGAGAGAGGAATGGATGTGAGCAATGATGATTTCCCCCAACGCAAACGAGTCGAATGAAGGCACGGTTACCGCCAATGAGCTTGGAGCGAGAGTTGTCTCGGGTGGCTTGCTTGATGTTTTCAATGCCTTCATCGACGTGCTTCATGGCCGCTGTCGTTGACTGTGCATCGCGTGTTTGAAAAATGATTGTCAGTGTGGTTGGTTGACAAGGGTGATTTGTTTCAATCTTCCGCCTACCGCTTTCAGGTCCTCGTCTTCGGGACGGAAGCGCATGGCCAGCGCAACCTCTTGGAAGATGCGCGACGCCGTCATGATTGCCTGTTTGGACCAAAAAGCAGCAGAGAGACACGAGTTGCAACAGTGTGGTGAGTCAAAAATGCTGCCAACCAAAATCAGAGGTGATTGATTCGTTTCTGAGTTGTGTCTGAGTGTCTGAGTGTCTGAGTGTCTGAGTGTCTGAGTGTCTGAGTGTCTGAGTGTCTGAGTGAGTCACTTCCCCCCTCCCCTCCGGGTCACCCCAAATCCAGTATTCTACTTGAATAATACTTCACAAGAATTAAAATCAAAGGATTTTTTTAACTGGATTTGGCAATGGCGGTCTGCCTTTCTGAATATGGCAACCAAATCTGTGATGTTTGTCACACGACGACGACAATGCAAACGCCACAATGCAAAAAGCACACAACAGCAAAACGAGCGGAACGGAGCGAGCGACGCGGGTAGGGGGGGGGGTTTGTTGATGTGATGTGATGCTCGAGTCACAGAGGGAGCAAGTCGGTGGAGGGACACGGAAGGAATTGAGGAGTCATTAGACTGATCCCGCTTCACTCACTCTCCTCAAACCTCACGGGAGGCAGTACCCCCACCCACCCTCTCTCCTCTCACACAGGCAAGAAGGGAGATCATGACAGGAGAAGACGCCGGCATGACGACAAGAGCGCGCGTATCAAAAATATGAAAAAATTGCGAAAATTGCGAAAAAAAAAAAAAAAAAAAAAAAAAAAAGGACGTGACTGTGGACAAGGAATTTCTTGGGCCTGCGCTGCGGTCGGTTTCAACGCGACTCGACTCGGTCTTCACTCAAGCTGAATCAGTGAAGAAGAAGAGTGAAGCGAGAGAGAGAGTGAAGAAAGAGAGACGATGTGTGGCGAACGGCAGTGTTTTGAGGATGGAGCGAGCGAGAGAAATTGGGACAAGAGAAGATTTGACACTCCCCAACTCGCAGTACAGCCAAGGGGGGGAGGGGGGTCACTCAACTGGGACTTGGTCGACCATGTCGACGGGGATCTTGTCGTCGACGCCGTCGGCCATCACGAGCTGCGACAGAATGTCGGCAACGGGCGCGAGCACTTGCGTCTTGATTGCGTTCGACATTAGGATTTGAAAAAAAAAGCAAAAAACCAAAAAAAAAAAAAAAAATCAAAGACTGAATTCGCATTGACAAGTTTTTTGGATGTTGGATGTTGGATGTTGGATTTGTTGGATTTGGATGTTGGTCTCAACCATGGACAGATCCCACACCCGGCTTCTGTCGAATTAGCGTAGTATAGGCCAAGAGCATAAAGAGCGAGTTTGATCGTCATGAACGCAACACGAGAACTGAGCGAATCGAGCCGCCTTTCCTTGTCCTGCGCAACTGAGACTCGTCGTTGACTCGATGGGCTCGATGTCACCACACAGCTGATGTTAGAGTAGCAGTGCACTTTCGAGCAGTGACGACGGTGGCCAAGGGCACAATTGACGTGATGCAAAGTTAAGTTTAGTTTTTGATTGCGGATGCCGGACCACAAATCGCTCCGTTTGCTTGATTGTCTCGAATTTCACAAGCACGCACCAGCACGAACCTGGCACAGCATTCGTTCTTGCAGATCTACGCTGCTTAGAGCCTTCGCGAACGTGGCAAAAGGTCGAACACGAGTTGCCAGATTACAGCCAATACCAAAGCGAAGGTAAGTCTGTCTCTGTCGACAACGACGTCGCGGCCATTCACGCCTTGGCCAGGGAAGATGAGGCGCGAGCCGACTATTTGACGAGAGCTCGAAGGGTGATGGTGACTCGGAAATGCAACGGCGACAAACTCTTCGCCGTCCTCCAACGGCCCAAGTCCCCAACTTGCCCCTTGCTGCCCAAGGTACCGCTTGACGGCCTTGTGCGACACAAAGAAGTCGTTTTGAATTACGCACCGACCTTGGGTGAACTGTAGTGGTCTGTTTTGGAGATAGGCCACTTTCGACTGCGTGACCAATGTTTCTGCCGCAACTTCCATCAAGCTGGGCATGCAGATCGCTTGTGTAGCTCTCTCCAAAGCTCGGACAGCATGCGGATGAGACGAGACTAGCCCAACAGCGACTTCTCGTCCGTTGAGGCAGCTCGAGATGAGCCTTCGAGCCACACCTCTGCTCCGGTGGTTGGAATGAACGACAAGCTGAGTTATCCAAACCGCGGTCCCCCCCCCCGACAGGCTGGCCGTTGGCATCCAAGAAGGTCGCATTGAAGCGACGACCCAAGGCGTGACCAACGAGCTGCTTCGGATGCCCCTGATGGCAAGTGACGAGAAACGGTGCCGTGCCAAGCTCAGCAGCCAGGAATTCTTGGCGAAGTTGTCGAAGTGACAACCTGACAGGCTGGCCTGGACGGGGTCCACGCTGCCCCCAGACTCCATAGTGATTGGAGAAGAGTGTACTGCATTCGGCGAGTTGTTCGTCAGTAACGTCGCCCGCAAGCGAAACGGCCCAGGTAAAGGTTTCGACAGAGATGACAGATTCGGCTTTGGCGCGCATTCGTCGAGGCCCAATACCGTATGAATGTATACTATGACTGTTGATGAAATCTGATATCAACTGAGCTTGTTTTTGGATTATTTTCGAAAACCATGTCTTCAATATGTTTTGTTTAAAAAAAGCAACTTCATTCTCCAAACAGAGCACGTTGGCATCACGCAAGGCCTTAGGCCACTGCCTACTAGTCGACAACAGAATTGCGGGTGAGCTGGCGAGGGCCCGACGCGAGCGCAGCGCTCAGCTGCTTTTGCTCTTGTCGACGCTTGCGACTGTTGCGCCCAGTGCGCGCCTCGCTGTTCCCACCTTCGGCCAGGCCGATGGACTGCATAAACTCTAGTGTCTGCGCGTCGACATCCGGATTCGGGAGTACCTTCACTGCTGGGATGAACGCCGGACTGGGAAGTGGCGAGGCTGCAGACCCCATTCCGAGGGCTTCCTGCTGCTCCCGCTTTCGACGCAGCCAAGGCCGACGCTGTTCACGCTCACGCTGCACCTGCTCCTGTTCTCGAATCCGGGCAACGGCGACTGCGTCCAACGCCTCTTGCTGCTCGTCCTCGCGCGTTGCCGCCTCAACCATGCTTCTCAGCGTGTGTGTCACTTCCCGAACCGATTCGAGGCTGGATTGTGCCGACATTGGAATCAATGGAAGGCCATGCTCGTCGGCATACGCCTGGAGCGCGGGGTAGTGCGCCGCGGCACTTGGCAAGTCCATCTTGTTGGCCACGATCAAGACGCGGGGAGCCAGAGGTGAAGATTGTTGTTGTTGTGACTGCGGCTGCTGCTGTGCCTGTGGTTGCTGCTGCTGTGCTTGCTGTTGTGCTTGCTGCTCCCGTTGCGTCTGCCGCGACCGCCCGTTGCTCAATCCGACGCGGAAGAGCTCGAGCTCGCGCTGCAGAGCAATGAGATCTTGCAACGGATCTCGCCCGTCCTGCGCGGCAGTGTCAATAATATAGAGTAGAACTTTGCTGCGCTCGACGTGACGAAGGAATGAGTGGCCAAGACCACGATTGGCATGCGCGCCTTCCACAAGGCCGGGAATGTCAGCCACCGTCATACGGTGGTGATCGTCAAAGTCCACGACACCCACAAACGGATTGAGGGTTGTGAACGGATACGGGGCTACCTCGGGGTGCGCATTGGACACGGCTCCCAAAAAAGTAGATTTGCCGGCGTTCGGCCACCCGACGAGCCCAACATCGGCGATGGTCTTGAGCTCGAGCACCACGAGTGCTGAGGAACCGGCGGTGCCGGACGTGGCAATTTCAGGAGCCTGCTCTGTCGGCGTTCGAAAGTGGCGATTGCCAAAGCCGCCTAGCCCGCCAACCGCTGCAACGTACTTGTCGCCAAAGTTGGCCAGGTCAGCGAGCACCCGAAGGTTGGCGGAAAGCGTCGAGCGTGCGCTGCCTGCAGCAACACGGGTGGCTTGGCTTTCAAACTTGGCGGCAGCGGCGAGCTGCGCAGGAAGTGAGGCAAAGGGCTGCGTCTCCACGGAAATGACCGTGCCTGGTGGGACGTGCACAATTAAATCGTCTCCAGTGGCGCCAAACCGCTGATCGCCCTGTCCGTTGCCACCAGCACGCCCCGCGATTTTACGCGGCACATGCGCCAGCGAAGAATACTTGTCTGAAGCCATGAACACAACGTTGCCGCCACCACCACCGTTGCCGCCGTCTGGGCCGCCTTCGTCTGTCGTGATCGTACGCAAGAATGAGATGGCGCCATCGCCGCCATGTCCGCCAGTCACTTCAGAGCGTGTAAAGTCAATGAAGGATCGTCTCTGCAAGTTTCAAACGAGAAGAAAGGTGGGGTTTTAGTTTCGATCAGAAGCCACGAAGCGCGCAACTCACCTTTTGCTGAATGTACAGCTTCTTGCGAAAGGCCAGCGTTGTTTCATCAACCTCCATCATTGCATCCGCCGCCAATGCGCTCTGCTGCACTTCTCGTTCGCGAGCATCAGCCTGTGTGTGTGTGTGTGTGTGTATGAGATTGAGGAAGATGAAACGAGGGGAAAATGCACAAATCCCGAAACAAGCATGAGCTGGATTTCGATTTGGCCCCCAAAAGAGCACTCTGCTTGGCTTAAATGCTCAGATGCACCCCAAACGCGGCCCCGCGTCTGAGATTTTGATCAACACTTACACGTCGGACGTCGCTCAACGTGGCTTCGGCCGTGCCGTCTTCCTCGACGACCAGCATCGGACCGCCCGCCGATGGACGCATCAGCACATGCGGCACAACATTGCCGCGCTGCGCACGCACGCCGCGGCGGTACTTTGCACGGAGATACTCTGCGTGCTGCTCGGCCGTGTACATGGAGCCGCCAGTGAGCGAGCCCGAGGCCGGTCCACCCGCGCCGCCGCCCATGGGGATCTGCTTGAGAGCGTCTCCGGATGCTCGGTGCCCTGGGTTGGGTGGCGACGGAGCGACGGCGCGGCGGCGAGGCCGGTCTGTTCTTGGCGGTGCCTGGAGCTGGCGCCGAGCGCTGGGCGACACGTGCAGCCACCGCACCAACGCCGGGCACATGCTCAAGCTGTGGGATGCACCTGCTGGGAGGGTCTGCGGGGCGATCGGAAGCTGGGCTGAGCGGCGGGGCAGAGCAGCAGTCAACCCGCATTGGTGGCTGCTGCTCAGCGTCAGTCTGAGCCAAGCAGGCATTGTTTTATATGTCGGGTTTGAGTGGAGTGATGAACAGATGAGTGAGTGAAGTGAAATGACAATGGATGTGATTCCAACTCGTTGTGTTTTCAATACATACACATTGACATAAATGCTCAGTCTGTTTTCATTCACAACAATGCTGTCAAAGTCGGTGCTCGGGCGACTCAAACAGCTCGACGCGTATGCAAAGACCACGGAGGATGTGCGCATCAAGACGTACGGCGGCGCGATCGGTGAGGCATTTGGCGCGCGTGGGGGAGAAGAACAGGAGGAGGTCTGAGAAAGCGAGCGACACACTAGTGAACATTTCGTAGCGCAATTCAAACGAGTAGCAAGTGCTTGTCATACGCGAATCTCACTAATTTCCCTCTTCCCGTCCTTGCTTTTCCTTGCCTCCTTGCATTTTTTTTTTTTTTGCTGTTTTTTTTTTTTTTTTGCTGCAGTGTCGATCGTCTGCGCGCTGATCATGGCCGCGCTGTTCGTCTCCGAGCTCAACTACTTTCTCACGACCGAGACGCACCACGAACTGCTCGTCGACACGACGCGCGCTGGCGAGCAGAAGCTCCGGATTAACATTAACGTGACGTTCCCGCGGCTGCCCTGCGCGTACATGTCGATCGACGTGATGGATGTGGCTGGCGAGCACCAGCTGGACGTGCTCCACACGCTGGTCAAGACGCGCCTGTCTGCGTCGGGCGAGGTCGTCCGCGAGCCAACCCCCGTCGAGGCGCTGGGCCAGCAGCCACCGAGCGACGCGGCCGAGCGACGCGACCTCGACAACAGCAAGTGCGGCGACTGCTATGGTGCGCAGACCGAGAAGCGGCCCTGCTGCAACTCGTGCGAGGAGGTCCAGGCCGCCTACCGCGAGAAGGGCTGGGGAATGATGGATCCGGACAGCATTGAGCAGTGCCGCCAAGAGGGCTTCTCGGAACGCATGCGATCCATTGCCAACGAGGGCTGCAAGGTCCAAGGATTCATGTACGTCAACAAGGTCGCGGGCAACTTTCACTTTGCCCCAGGGAAATCGTCCCAGCACCAGCACGTCCACGTCCACGATCTGCAGCAGTTCAAGACGACGACGTTCGACATGACCCATACCATTCACCTGTGAGCTTTCTATTCGTTTCTTATTTTGTTGGTGTTGTAAAGGTTTGGTTGAAGACGGTGCTGGTGCAGATGGGTGGGTGGTGGGATACGGGTTTGTCTTGTCGTCTCTGGTCTCTCTCATCGATTGCGAGTTTGTTTGTTTGTTTGTTTGTTTGTTTTGTTTTTGTTTTTTTTTTTTTTTTTTTTTGTTTGTTTGTTTTTCCTTTTGCACAGGCTCTCGTTCGGAACCGAGTACCCCGGCCAAGTCAACCCCTTGGACGCCGTTTCCAAAGTGCCGCCAGAAAACACTCCCGGTACGCAAGGCTGTGAAGACCTGTTGGTCCTTCATTCTTTGAGTTTGGTTTTGGGGATTTGTTGCTGACGAGTTTCTTGTTGCTCCTGTTTTGCTCAACCCTTGCTCGCAGGATCTGCAATGTTCCAATACTTTATCAAGGTCGTGCCCACAGAGTACGTCAAGCTGAATGGAGAAACCGAGCAGACGAGCCAGTTTTCCGCCACCTCGCATGTCAAAATGATCAACCACGCCGCTGGCGAGAACGGTCTGCCGGGTGTCTTCTTCATGTACGAGCCATCCCCGATGCTCGTGAAAATCACAGAGCGCCGAAAGTCGTTCATGCACTTCTTGACTGGCGTCTGCGCCATCGTTGGTGGTGTATTTACGGTGGCTGGCCTCGTCGACGCGACCATTTACCACTCATACCGAAGCATCAAGAAGAAGATGGAACTGGGCAAACAGACATAACTTTTGTGTGTTCGTTGTTAGAAATTAAAGTTAAAAAGAGAAAGTTCGAGTTTTTTGGTTCTTGTTGTTTTTTTTTTTTTTTTTTTTTTTTTTTTTTTTTTTTTTTTTTTTTTTTTTTTTTTTTTTTTTTTGTTTGTTTGTTTGTTTGTTTTTGTGCTCATGTCTCGAGTCGTGGAAATAACCAAAAGATACTTGTCTTGATACACGAACAGAAGGGGGAACGAAACACACACTCAATAAGATGACATGGCCAACACAGTGCAGAATTCTTTACTTCTTGGCAAGCTTGTTGGCACGGGGTTTCTTTGACTTTGCAGATGGAGAAGCTGCTGCGGCCGCAGGTGCTGCTGCTGCTGCGGGTTTGCTTGCAGGTTTGCTAGTAGACGCGCTGCTGCTAGAGTTCATCGATGCGCGCACTGCGGCAGCCGTGCTGGTTGCACTGGTGCCAACACGAGGAGTGCTAGCGGACTTTGTCTTTTTGGTCTTCTTCGGGAAGGACTGGGCCTGGGCGTCGCGCACAATAGCCTCCTCGTCACTGTCGCTGTCCATGGCGTGCTCAATTTCCTCCATATCGTCCGCATCCGACTCGACTTCCTCCGTCGCAACGTTCTGAGAACCCAAAGAAGAAAGGGAAAAAAAAAACAAGCGCAGAACAAGGAAATCAAAGTTAGCAACTGCTGCAAGAACGCCTGCCAGGCCGACAATGGACACCGAGTCGTTTTGCTTTGTACCGAAAAGTTCTCGGCAGCAATGTTGCAGCGAGCGTGGAATTGCCGACGAACAGCAGAGCTCTCAAGAAGATTCCAAAGCTTGAGCATGCCCTTGCCACCGCCAAAGGCGATTGTGCACGGCGAGTTGGGGGAGAAGCCGGCGGCGTAAATCGGACCCTGGGGAAAGAGCAAAAGTAATTTGGTCAGCAAAAGGGCAAATTCATTTTCCAGCATGGAAACGTTGGCGTGGACAACATCATTTGGGGGGTGACATACTGCTTGGAATTCTTTGGAATAGACAAACTGAGGCTTGTCGCCCATCACATCCCACACTTTAATGTGGCGATCGGCCGAGGCAGTCACGAGCATTCCGGGAACAGCGGGGCTCATGGTGAGCGACGTGACTGGCTTGTCCGAAGCACTGATGGTGTATGCGGGACCTGCGGGCATGCGAGTGTCGCAGCAGACAACGTCACCATTCTCGCAACTCATCTGCAATTTTGGAGGGCAAAATGAGCAACATGCCAACTCAACACAAACCAAAAGCACCGCAAACCCTCGTGTGTAAAACTCACAAAGAAATACTCGGGAGCCAGGGGGTTCCAAACACCACTCTCAACGTCAGCGGGGAGGTTCCACCGAATGACAGAGTCTGGTGCACGTGTGTCGAAAACGGAGGCGGTGCGATCGTACGAGCCGGTCAGCAAATAAGTCACATTGACAGGGTTCCAGCTGCAGACCTGGACCTTGTTGCTGTGGTGAATGTAAGTTTGGAGGCACTGGAGGTTTTGCAAATCCCACAGCTTGACGGTCGCGTCAGCAGACGAGCTGGCAAGCAGGTTTCGGTTTGGTCGGTTCCACGAGAGGCCCATCACTGCGTCAGAATGACCGGCAGTAGCGTCGGATGTTTTCTATCAAGGGGAGAGTTGCAAGTGTTGAGTGAAGAATGGAGGGCCCAGCACACACACACACACACACACACACACACACACACACACACACACACACACACACACACACACACACACACACACACATACACAGACCTTTGACCAAAATGTGCCACCCTCACCTTCTTTTTGCTGGAAGCCTTCTTCTTGTTGCCGGCGAGCACGCACACTGGAGCGACCGCATCCACGACGTCCAAATCCCAGATTTCAATGTCGGGGCTCATGTTGCCGATGGCGATAAAGTTGCCTGCGAGGGATACACAAAACGCAAAAGGCATTGTCAGACACAAAACGTGATGTACAGAGCAAAAGCAACATCCTCAGACGACTCGTTCGTTACCCGTCTCTCCTTCAGCGCCGGAATCATAGTTCAGCCACTCGGTGCAGAGAGGGAAGGCCGAAAGAATCATGTCATGGTGAATATAAAGGTTGTCGACATCTTCCTCGTAAACGTAGATTTCCAGGCGAGAGTAGTCGTCTTCGGTCTGACCAACAACGATCAGATTGTCTGTCGGCTTGATGGTAAAGTCCTCAATCTCCTCGTCGTCCTCGAACTGCACTCGGATCCAAAACGAGTCGCGTGAGCGAATTTGAAGTGTTCCGACGTGAATTGAAATCGAAGGGGAAAGGGCCAACAGTATACTTACGTTCTTGAGGGTAATGTAAGGATCCTGCGAGTTGGATGAATAATAAGCAAGGCCATTGAATCCAGCCACGCCGTTCATGGCGACGCCTGCAAAACAAAATCGAGTGTGGAGCAAGAATATCCAGTGTGAGTGATTTCCCCGCCAGCAGCCTCCATCTCCAGCTCACTAGCTTGTGATCTTGCTCCTGTTTTACCATCTTCCTCATCGTCGTCATCATACGTGTCGAGATTGAACTCGGCGAGCTCGTCCTCAATGCCAGTGTCCTTGGAAGCGGTTGACTTGGTTCCCAGAATGCTCGCGGCGGCCTCCTGTGCCTTGCGCCTGTGCTCGTCCTTGGACTCGTTGTGCTCCCTGTTATCATCATCAGCAAGTGCTCCGATGAGTGTCCATGGCTGACTTTGAAGCGAGTGTAATGGTCGTCCGAGCCATTTTCGCTCTCTCTCGTCCCTTTCCTCTCCCCCCCCCTCGCCTGCGTTGCTCCGTCCAGCGCGGGCTTTCAGAGTACAATCAGACTCGCTCTCCTGCACTCGTCTGCCCAGTGTTTGACTTTTTGAGCCCGACGCAGTTCTCGACCCATCTCCATGGTCCCATGTGGAAGCAACATGTGCTTTCCTCTCCTTCCACTCTTTGCCCTCCCCGCCTCAGTCAGTTCTCGTACTTGAGCTCGGACGACGCGTCTTCAATGAGCTGCTTGAGCTCCTCTTCTTCGAGCTCGACGCGCTCGGGCTTGGCGAGGGCGGCACCGCGCGGCACCCACGCAACACACGAAAGCATTGACATTGTGAAAGGAAGAGGAACGAGAAAAAAAAACAAAAAAAAAAAAAAAAAAAAGAGTGAAACCATTCATTGAGCGTTGAAGGAAACACAGAGTCAAAAGCATAGGAATAGCAAAGTACGCTAGAAAAAGAGTAACAGGGTCAGGACAGTCGAGTTTCTGAGAATCGAGGGTGTCTCAGAGTTGCAATGTACAATCTAAGAACCCTCTCTCTCTCTCTCTCTCTCGCTTCCACCCTCCCCTGCCCCCCTGGCCCTCCCTTCACTACAATGCTCTAGCGCTTTGTCAAGCTTCGTTCGATTCAACTTGCGCACCCCCCGCGTTTGTACCCGACATGCAGCGCCTCCTTCGCCCTAACAATTCATTTCAGTCTTGTTTTGTTGCTCAGTCTCAGTTTTCATCCTTTCTCCAATGAGTTGAGTTTTGCTTTTTGGTGCTGAATTCGACGACAAATTTTGCGTACAACGGACACTGATTTCTTTTACCCTTTCCCCCTCACTTTTCCACGAATGATGCTACGGCACGACGTACAGGTGGCAAAGCAGCCTCGGCGTGGAACTCGAACGGAACATGGTAAACGCAAAAGCTCAACGCAACCTGAACAGAACGACTTGCGTCCCAGCCCCCGATGATGCAATGGTGTGTGATTTACGACACGATTCTTGACGTTGTGGTGCTTTTGCTGGGCATGTGTGCAGGGAAGAGCGCGACGTCAGCGCGTGGGCGACTGCCCGGCTCAAGGCAGTCCTCGCGGCGCTCAAGCACGAGGACGAGCGGGTCAAGATCCGCGTCGCCAGTGTGACCACCGTCGAGGGTGAGGCAAACATTGTCTTCCCGCGTGGCAAGAAGCGCGCTGGCTACGAGTTTGCAGCCAAGGTCAAGGTCGAAGGTAATGCATGCACGGAGAACCACAGCTCGATACTTGCAGCTACTATTGCAGATTTTACGATGAGCGCTGCGCACGGAAGCAGCGAGGATGGTCCCACGATGATCATAACGATGATGGTGATGATCTGATTGGTTTTGATCTGCGACGGGGCAACCCTTGTCTTGTTTGGTGTGTCTCAGTCACACCCGCTGGAGCGAGCTCCGCAGCCACAGGCACCCTGGAGTTCCCGTACATATGCGACGACGTCTCCAACCACGCGTATGAGATCAAGCTGGTGTTTGCCGACAAGGCGGCCCAAGCGCTGTTGGACGATTACCGAAGTGTGTTTTTGGACGCGGTCAGGACCCAGTTCTACGACGAGCTCATGCTGCAATGATTTTTTTTTTTAACTTGGCTTGGAATGCAATTGCCAAAAACCCAATAGATACTGCTTTTAATTGTTTGCATGGAGTTTTCAACCCATACTCGGACTACGCACGAGACGATAAAATATAAAAAATAAAACCCGGCACAAGAACAAGATTGCGGCGATTCTTTTTCCCTCGTTGGATGCCGGGGAGACAAGAAGACCATGTGGGTTTTTTGTTGCTTTGGTCTACACGACTTGAGGAGCTTGAGCAGCTTGCTGGAAAATGTGGTCGAGCGAAAAGTCAGAGACTTGAACTTCTGGCACACACTCGCGCAGTCGGAGGCGCATTTCGTGACTCGTGCACTTCTCGCTCCAAGCAGTCCGTTGAAGTGCATACACGACGTCATTTTCCAGACGATGTCTCGAAAGAAGTTCTTGCTGTTTGCGATCAAACACGTTTCAATCGAACGGCATTGTTCAGGTCAGTTTCTCCTTTCCACAACTGTCCGAACACCCAAGCACAATGCGCAACAATCACACCAACCTTGGTCCGCTCAAAATCGGAAGCCAGGCGGTGCAAGGTTTGACTCAGCGCAGTCTGATTCTTGCAACCGGCCAAGGTTGAAAACGCCTCGATGACGCGATTCTCGGCAGCCAAGACCAAACGTTCGCGCTCAAAGTTTTGGCGGATCTTGGAATCGCGACGCTCAACCTCTTGCTGCATGAACAGAGCACTGTCCGTCGACGGGATTGAGGATAGCCAAGCAGGCACGCTCAAAAAGGTGGGCAGCGCTGAAGAGGTGGTCCGGCAGGATTGTGTGGCCTTTCCAGCCATCTCCCGCAAAGCAATCGCAGCTTCTTTGGCACGAAGGGCAGCGTGTAACTGAGAAGAACACAGACAAATCGGCACGTGAGTCTCTTTTGGGTGCCAATTCAACCAGCATCTGCTTTCAAATTTTTGGGTGACAATTCAACCAGCAAGTGTCTTCAAACAAATGAAGGTCTTACCACGGGATCCGCCAACGGCACCTCATAGGCATGCGTCACGGTCTTGAAGCCGAGGTAGTTGGGAGGAGGCGTCGATGGCTTCTTACCCATGCCAAAGTCTACATTGAGGAATCGTTCCTTGCGCGACTGCGGGTCCGTCGGCGTCATCCATCCGATTTCCGCAGCGGATGCCAAACGCTTGGGACGAGCCGGCACGTTGGTGGCAGCAGCAGTGGACACGTGCGAACGAGCGACGGCGGAAATCAAGCCACTTTCAATCGTCGGACGGGCAGCAGGCTCACAAATCTCGTGCTCTCCTGTCTGGCTGGGAGGCGACGAGGGCGGTGGCGAAGCAGGCATGTAGACGTTCATCGCATCGGCGTGCATTGACGTCTCGGTTTGGCTCCTGCCGCGACCTGCTCGGGACGCAGCAGCAGTGGTCGAACGACGTCCCCGCAAAACCAGGCGCGAGGTGGATGGGAGTGCAGGAGCGGTCACGGTTGAATATGCATCGTCACTCACGGGGTCGCAGGAGACGGGGGACGGCTGATTATAGAACGCGTTGGATGCTTGGGTCGGCTCAGGAGAAGTGCCTCGACTGCTGCGACCCACGTCCACGCCGTCTTGCGAGCTGTCCTCGGCGAAAGGAATCACGGCAGAAAATGCAGATTCGACACGATCAACTTGCATTGGAGCATCAGCGGTAGAAGTGGAGGCATCGCTATCAGAATTCTTGACCTCGGATTCTGCATTCATGGCATCCGTTGACAGCACACGGGTGGAGCCTTTGCGACCGGTAGTGCTGGTGGCGGCCGCAGGCTTTGTCGCTGCTTTGGGTGCTCTGGTGGGCGCAGGGCGCCTGGCTTCTGGTTTGGCCTTGGTTTCCTGCGGTTCTGATGGGGCGTCGCTTTCTGAAGGCTCGGCCTGGCGGCTGGCCTGCGCATCCTGTTGCTTGGCAGGCTTGCGCTGCGGTTGCGGTTGCTTGTCGTCCTCAACCTTGCTGTCACCCCTGCGCTCGGCCTTCCGCGCGACTTTGCTCTCGGCCTGGCTGTCGTCCTTGCTCTCGGCCTGACTCTCGTCCTCCGTTGAGGCATCGGCCTCTTGCAGCACTTCCGGAATGGCAATACCTTGCAAGAGACGCTTCATTTCGGGCGTGGCCGCAACATCAACGGGAGTCGCGCCGTTGGCGTTCACGGCATACGCGCTGGCGCCATACTGCATGAGCGCGGCAGCAACCTGAATGTGGTTATTCATGGCAGCGTCGTGCAGCGGTGTGTCGTTATTCAATCCAGGGGCTGTGGCGTCGGCGTGGTGCTCGAGCAGCAACCGCACGATGGCGATGCGTCCGTGGTTGCAGGCTTCGTGCAGCGGGGTCCAGCCGGCGTTGTCGGTCGCATTGATGACGGCGCCCTGCTGGATGAGACGTTTCGCAGCGTTGACATTGTTTCTGATGGCTGCAACATGCAACGGCGTCTCGCCGCGTTCGTTTCGGCCGTTAATCTTGTCCATGCTCTGCGTCGGCCGCCGGGCTGCCTCGCGCTCTTGCTTTTTCTGCAAGGCGATGAGCTGACGCTCTGTCAGCGTAGGACCGCCAGCTGCTGCAGCCACGCTCGAAGCAGGAGCAGCAGCCGCCGCAGCAGCCGTCGGCTTGGTTGCGATCGGTTTGACAGGGGAAGACGGAGCCGAACGCCGACGCGATGATTGCTTTTGAGTCGTCGAGATAGGGTTGCTGGTCGCTTCATCTGCACTGTCTGATGCTTGATCCTCGTCGGCGCTTTCGGGAGCATCTTGTTCTGACTCGTGAGCGGCCTCTGTCTGCTTAAAGTCGAGCCTTCGCTTTCGGTTTGGCTACCAAAACAAGCACAGAACAAGGACAAACAGGTGGTAAGGCTCGGAGGTGATCAAATTTGCATCGAAATTGCATCGAGCTATATGGGATAGTCTGGCTTTGTAAAATCAGACCTTCTGGTCGAAACGTATGGGGAAGAGGCCGAAAAAAAAAAAGCGCCAAAGATTCAAAAACAGGAGGGAGACCTAAACATGCGACATTTGGCTGTTACCTCATCAATCTCGCGCGTTGCACGACGGTCTGGCGATTGGAGTAATGCAGCGTGTTGCTTGTGGTGGACGGGAGAGCTGGTCGACGACCCTCGCGTGTTGGGAGGGGTGAGCATGACAAAATGCCCAGAACCGCCAATCCCGCCTAGGCTTCGCGTCTGCGGTGTCGCGGGAGACGCAGGACCGCCTACAAAAGGGAGACAAGGGAGATGGTACAAGGTGGACATTGGTGTGTTTAGTGAGTGATATCGCAAAACAGAGGCCTCGAAACGAGCCAAGCAGAGTTTCAAAAATGAGGGTTGGTTTTTGGCGGGAAATGTGATTTTCGCGCCTTTTTTCTGGTCTTTTTTTTTTTTTTTTTTTTTTCCCCCTTCTTTTCTTTGGAAAGGGTTCTGTTTCATTGTTTGAATAAAGGAACGAGACGAACTGTACCAGAGGGGATTTGAGCGTGGCTGGGTGTGTGTGCGACAGCGCTTGTGCTTGACGCTTTGGGAGGATGCGCGGAAGGGGTGCTGGGCGACGAGAGATACTCTGGCTGCTGGAGCGCCGACGCCAGTTTCCGCAATGACATTTTGGCACGATCAAATGGATTGAAGAGTGAATAAACAGGGAATCGAAAAGGCTAAAGATTGAGGTATTGAACGCAAGGCAAAAGTGGGAGCGTACCGGCGTTGCAAACGTTGTCGATCGAGCAGCTCAGTTCAAGGTAGATTTGAGCGAATTCACCTCTTCTCTGCTGGAGCTGGATTTCGTAAAACCAAGTGCTCAGCATAAGTGAAACCCCGCTGAAGATGCATTGGAGCTGGCCGATGGCACTTGCTGTCAAGGATTCCCTGTCTTTGTTCTGGGTGAGAACGTCATAGCTCCAACGGTACAGAGCATGGGTTTGTGCAACAGTCACTTCACCACTGGGCAATCCAGCCTGAAAGGGTGATCAACAGCCGGTGGCGCCAGTTTGCAAACGCGACGAGCGAGGGCTTTGAAAGTTTCAATCGGTTCATCGAGACGACCAATCGCCTGTACATGTATAGTTGTACAAGCAAAGTTGAAAAAGACTCATTGATTCTCGTTTATTCTATCAATGCGGATGAACGATTTGAGGGCGAACGCAGATGCAACGCACATCAACGCAGGTTTGCACGCCAAATGGCACGCAACAAGTCGTGCTGGAACTTTGCGCGGTTTTTGAGCCTCATGGACTGCGTTACCTGGATGGTAATCATCATTTCACTAAGTTCAAGGACTGCTAGGTGAATGTTGGTTGTCGTTCTACTTGCATCTGATGAGAGCGTATGCAAAAGTGCAGTCGTGTTTCTTTTTTTCTTTTTTCTTTTTTCTTCGTCGTCTTCTTCTTTTGCTTTTTCTTTTGCTTTTTCTTGTCGCTTTTTCTTTTTGCTTCTTTCTTTTCGCCTTTTCTTTTTCATGTCGGCACCCGATCAGCCTCCAAAGCGCCCCAATGAAAATGACGGCAACGGCGCCGTGACAACCAAGCGTGTACGCGTGGAAGCCGCCGGCGGCGCCGCCGCCGCCGCCTCTCTTCTGACACCACCAGCAACTACGCTAACGACTGACTCGGCATCACTAGCAACTGCGACATGGACTCACTCGGCATCACCAGCAGTCACATTGATGACAACAACAGCACAGGTAATATTTTTTTTTCGTTTTTTTTTTTTTTTTTTCCCGCGCTTGGTTGCTGGTCGGCGCTTCCAGGCAGTCTTGGGCACACCCGCGCATGCTGTGTCTATGGAGACATGCGCGCATGCTGCCTCCATAGACACAATGTACGGTCAGCAGGCCGCGTGTTAGGGTTGTAGTTTGGCTTTGGTTGTCCTGTCTCGGCAATTTCTGCCGCCTTCCGCCCTCTTCCGCCCGCCGCACACATACGCACGCACAAATCGAGAAGGCTAATGCAATTCAAACTTTTTTGCTTGTAGACCCATAACGCGGTACAAACTCACGCTGGACCATCCACGAACCCTCAAGAGTTGCTTGGCGCTGTACTTTCCCAGCTTGACGGTGAGTTGAACGCGGTGCAGCTTTCTGGTGGCTGCTTTCATAATCTGTGCGTGCGAATGAGTGCCCGTTTCTGACGAGCTTTGTGTTGGATGCGTTTTCAGCCAACGGGAAGGTGGCTGTTTGGCAGCTCTTGCGTGAGAACGATCAGCAGCTACTGGCTAAAGAGCAGGAGCTACGGGCTAAAGAGCAGGAGCTACGGGCAAAAGATCAGCAGCTACTGGCTAAAGAGCAGGAGCTACGGGCTAAAGATCAGGAGCTACGGGCTAAAGATCAGCAGCTACTGCTTGAGAAAGATCTGCGGCTGTCTGAGAAAGATCTGAAAGATCGGCAGCTGTCTGAGAAAGATCAGGAGCTGGATGAGCTGCGTCAGACAAACGAGCAACGGGATTTTGTCAAAGACGTTACCTTTTGTAAGTTTCGCATTCGCTGCTTGCGCTCAGGCTCTCTCTCTCTCTCTCTCTTTTTCTCTCTCTCTCTCTCTCTCTCTCTCTCTCTCTCTCTCTCTCTCTCTCTGTCTCTCTCTCTCTCTCTCTCTCTCTCTCTCTCTCTCTCTCTCTCTCTCTCTCTCTCTGTCTCTCTCTCTCTCTCTCTCTCTCTCTCTCTCTCTCTCTCTCTCTCTCTCTCTCTCTCTCTCTCTCTCTCTCTCTCTCTCTCTCTCTCTCTCTCTCTCTCTCTCTCTCTCTCTCTCTCTCTCTCTCTCTCTCCTCCTCCTCCTCCTCCTCCTCCTCCTCCTCCTCCTCCTCCTCCTCCTCCTCCTTCCTTGATATGCAATCTTGGCTGAAACTCAGTGTGAACGGCACGATATTTGGTAGTGTCTGAGATCGGATCGAGCACCAACGCTTCCTTCGTACAGCGTTTTGTCACGCAGTTTTGCAACGATGACTTGCAGACCGATCTCAATCGATTTCAACTGCCACACCTGAGCAACCTTGCAGCACTTGAGCAAGAGTTGGACAAAGTCAGGAATCTCGTTAACTCGTCGACTATGAACCAGTCGACTGTGAACTCGTCGACTATGAACCAGTCGACTGTGAACTCGACTTTTCGCGAAACGAGCATGCATTGGGCCGTTGCCGACTACTGCCAGGCCGTCTGCGAACAGGTTGGCGCGAAACTCAACTTTCACGCTCACAATAGCACGTTATCTGCACCTGATGTATTTTCGTCCACTTGGGCAGTTGATCGCAGTCGACCTGCTTCCCGCACGAGTACTTCAACAGTAGCGTCGGGTGTCACATTGCCATTTGTTCCCCCGACAGCGCCGACCCGTTTAGGCACTTCTCGACAATTTGGCTCGGTTCGACTGTCCGAACTCCTGATTGACAGTCGTGTGTTTGTCGAAGTCAAGAAGGGGTCGACCGATGTTCAAGCTGCTCGTTTGCAAGTCGGCAGTTATCTGGTCCACTATCATTTAACAGGTAGTGAGAAGAACTTCAACGCGCGCCAGGTGGCATCCTGGCCAGCCTTTCTCTACGGCCTCGTTTGGTGCGGCGTTGACTACGTCTCTGTCGCTCGCGTTGATTTAAAGCTGGGTGGCAAGCTCATTGCACCCAAGGTCACGTTTGCCACAACACCGGAACCAGCACGAGCGGTTCTTTTTGTGGTGTGGCAAGCTATCCTCGCGTACAACGCCTCTGTTGCGAATAATGCACCATCAGACAGCAGTGACCCTCGTTCTTGGGATTGCAACTTTGGTTTTACGCCACGCGCCGCAAATCCAGGCGCCGCAGCTCCAGGCCAGCCAGACAATGCAGCCGGCGGTGGCGCGCTCGCTGGTGCAAGTGGAGGGAATGTCGTCGCGACCGACTCCATTGTTCTCAATTTGGTAACGTCTCGTCTGGTTTGGATGTATCATCCGCATCATGTGCATCTTGGGCAACTCTTTTGTCTTCACTTTTCGCTTTTGGCTCTTGTTCTTCGACCTTGTGCAGACGACCGGCCCGCAACCTCTGCTCGATGCCCAGGTCTTTCATCGCGATTTCATGTTCACCGGCAAGCTCCGCCTGAACTCGAGCGAGGAATTCACCAACGTGGTGGTCAAGGTTGCAGCCGCAAATCGCAAGGCGCTCACAGAACAGCTGGCGCGAGAGGGGATGGCGCTAGCCCTTCTCAACCGTGACCGAATGCAGGCTGCTGCACATGGCATTCCCGAGCTGCTATCGTTCTGCACTGTCACTCTCGGCGGAACCCCTGGCCTGGCGTTGGTCACGGGCCTCATTCCTGGCCATAGTGTTGACTGGCAGCAGCACCAACCGTATGCGGCCAGCATTGCGTCGCAAGTTTGCGACACTCTTCGCTGGATTCATGCGCAAGGTGTGGTGCACGGCGACATTCATCGTGGAAACCTGCTCGTCACCGAGACGAAATTACCACTGACTCCACCCGCCTCACCGCCCAAAGGCGCCCTCGAGCCGCCGCCCAAAGGCGCCGTCAAGTTACCACCTCACTCAATCACGTTGGTCGATTTTGGGCTTTCTTGCTTCCTTCCAGCTGTGACACGCGAGCATGTGCAGGCAGCACTCTTGGCAGCGCCGGTGACGGTTGCAGCTGCTCAGGAGCTCCAACCGTGGCTCGGACATGTCGAGGCCAACTCGTGGAGCCAGTGGCCAGGCCACTTTTACAACATTGCGCGCAGTGAGAGGGTCGCCACTCCGCAAGCCGACTTTCTCGGTCTAGGCTTGCTGGTTGTGTCTCTAGAGATCGGTGGCACACAAGTCCTGAAGCAGTGGGTACGTCTGGACGACTCTGAAGACACTGCGACTCGTACTCCGCGTCTGCGTCGCTTCCTGCGAGATCAATATCAGCTCCGTTCACTCCTCGCGAGACGCACCGCAACTTTGACAGAGGTTCAGAAGATTGTTGCGCTTGCAGACGGAGATGTGTCAATTCCTCCGGCTCCGGTGTAACCCCCCTCTCTCCTTGTGCTTTGTTCAACGTGTATTGTTTCAAGTACCTACCTCAAAATAGCGTTTCATCCTCATTCAAACGGCCCACCCATCCGCATGCTGCATGACGATCTGGCATTCTGCTGTAGTTGATTCTGCTCTCTGTCATTCTTCGATTTGTCCTTTTCGCAGACTCGTAGCATACGCCTCTCGTAGATACTAGTAGAACAGCTAGCGGTATCCCAAATCCAACTCAGCAACCGAAAAAGTCCATTGCGGCTTGTGTCGTGGTTGCTCCTGTAGCGTGGTTGATTTTCTGTTGAGTGCTCGCGGTGCTTCCGCCTGACAATACCTGAAGCTATTTTCATTCTTTGCCTTGATGTCATCCAATTGCATGCTTTATGCATGGGAAGAGAAAGTCAGTCCTATCCAAGAAGCTCACAAAACGCTCAGTCTTCTCACTTCAAAACCAATGACGTTGGTCACTGTGCAATATTGCCCTGGTACTACCCTTTTCTTGCTCTGCTTTGTGAATTTTGCTATTACCGTCCCTTGTTCTAACCCATTTAATCTCTCCTCGCGTGCTCTTACCATTTTCGTCTCGTTTCCTCCTCTTTCCCTTTCACCTTCTTGCGCTTCAGTCTGCACACTGCCGTACGAGGTAAGCAGAAACCTCGTCCAGCAATCATCACAAGTCGCCCCGTTGCCTGCGCCAGATCGCCTCCCCGCTGCTTTCACGCCGCATGGCTGAGAAACGCATTGAAGCCCCCAAAGTAGTCCCCCCCGTCCTGTGTTCGCTCACATATGCGTTGCCCGTTGGTGTGCCCTTTTGTGTGGTAGTTCTGCCATGTCGGCCCAACGCCCGAGGAGTGCAAGGCCAAGCTCAAAGCGCTCGACGAAGCCATGTATGAAAAGTACTGGTCGAACGTCCGAAGTAAAGCAAGCTCGCCAGCCTCGTTGAGCAGAGAATCTTGTTGTTGCTGTTGTTGTGTGTGGATGAAGCCTGGAGTGGCCAGGCCGCGCTCAACGCTCAATCTGATGCTGCTTTGGTAGTCGTTGCTCAAAAGCTCGACGATCTGAAGTTGGACAATGCCGCGGCTCCTGAAGGTGCGGACGGTGCATCCACATCTGCCAGTGCATCAGGCGAACAAGCCCCTGCGACTGGCGAGGCGGCTGCCCCAGCAGAAGGCGAGGAAAAGCCCAAGAAGCCCAAGAAGGAGAAGAAGAAGAAGTGTGAGTCGCTAAACCCTGGTGATCTCGTGTGTTCCTTTTGAGTTCGTTGCACCGTTGATATTGATGCAGTGTGGGTGCGGGCGGCGTAAGAGAGATCAGCTGGTGGTGGTGGGCAAGGAAGCCGCCAGAGCTGAGAGCCGACTGAATCTGCAACTCATCGCCCTTATGTTTCTACGCTCGCAGCTAAGGAAGCAATCAAGCAAGTCACCATCACTCTCGAAAACCGCAACAAGCGCAAGTTCACAACCAGCGTGGAAGGATTGGCACAATATGGTAAGCGAAGCGTCGAGAATTGTTCATTTTGTTGCATCATCCAACCCCCGCCAAAGACTCACCTTCGGCAACCACCGCTTCATCAATACGTGTTGCAGGCATCGATCTCAAGAAGGCTGCAAAGCTCTTTGCTGGTCGCTTTGCGTGCGGCTCGGCTGTTTCCGGCGAAGATCTCATTGTCATTCAAGGCGATTGCGTTGACGATTTGATGGACTATTTGCCAGAACAGTTCCCTGAGGTAAGCGGCTCATTCGATATCATCTTTGAGCATTGCCAACATTGTCGTTTTGAAATTGGGTCTATGGGAGGACAATGCATTGTCTCTTCAAGGGCTCTCGACTGACTTTGGGCACCCTACGTGTTCTCTTCTGTGCTTGCAGATTTCAGAGGACGCCATCGAATTTGAAGAGAAGAAGGCGTCCGCCTAAAGTTGAGCGATCGTGTTGTTTTGTTTGTACTTTGTGTGATTTGTTGTCAATTACAAAGTTGCCTTTGTTGTTTTGTTTTGAAAAGAAAGTTAACAGTTGTGTGCATCCTCAATCTTGCTTCTTGCTCGCCTCGTCTGATACGCTCGACTCGGTGGTTGCGGTGCTTGCGGTCGCCGGAACGGGAGGAGTCAAAGCGGATTTATTACAGGCGGTCAATTCTGGCTGCTGCTTTGAATGTGTCGCTGACGCCGCAGCCTCTGCTCGTTGGAAGAGTTGCTGCCACAGGTGCATGACCAACCCGATCGAGTTGGTGACCAGAACGGAAATATAAAGCCGGAAATGCACAGAGTTCTGCGCAAGAGCAAGCAAGCAAGCCCTCTCAGCGTTAGAATCTCCAACAAATGGACTCCGCACCACCACCAAAGTGAAGAAAGGCTGTCCTAACATGGACAAAGCGAAACTGGTTGACGGCAAAAATCGGTGCTGTTGCTCACCTCGTGTAATGACGGGACGCACTGAGCGACCAGAATCATGGTCAGGCAAGTGCCTGCCTGCGTGCTGAGGACGAGGGCATGGTTGGTTGAAGCAAAGAAGATGACGCATAGGACAAAGACGCAGTTGGCAGCGACAGAGACAAGCAGCGCCTTGTACAGCATTCGCAGGAACTCGTCCAAGCCTCTGAGAACCAGAAGAATCAGAAATCACAACCGTAATACTCGGAATAAGTCAGAATGACAATCAGAATAAAGCAGAATAAAATCAGAACAATGATAG